CTGATGTTGACGGTGGAATTTTCGCAAATGCAAATTGTACCAACTTTGTCACTTGAACAATAAATACCGGTATTAGCAACAGTACGTAATATCTCTTTCTTATCAACAGTTTTGGAACTGTACAGTGAAATAGCTGAATCTCGGAATAGGACACACGTACATATAAATTCTGCGTAGAGTGACCGATACTATGACCCCCCGGAATATTGACCTTTCCTCCTGGGACACGATTAATTTAATTAGGCCATGGTCGCTAGAGTGCAGGGTAAAAGCTTAGTTAGCAGATGCTTTGAAAGGGTGGCAAAGTTAAAATAACGGGGTACGAGAGTAACAAACCAAAAATTTGATTCACGAGGAAATTAAGAGTAGTATGAATTTGGGTAATAATTGTTACAAATCAGTTCAGAACATTTTATCTTCTCGTCTGTTGTCTAAAAACGCAAAAATTAAAATTTACAAATCTATAATTTACCTGTAGTTTTGTCTGAATGCGAAAATTGGTTTCTGACATAGAGGTAAAAATACAGACTGAGAGCATTTGAGATCCCCGTGTTGAGGAATATCATACATTTTTCCACTGATGAAATAGAATGGTCAAATCAAGGAGTATGTAATGGACAGGGTATGTAGCACGCATGGGGAGAGGTGCATACAGTGTTTTGGCGGAACACAAGAAGGAAAGCGATCACTAGAAAACTAGACATAAGTGAGATTATAATATTTAGATGGGTATTAGAGAAACAGGATGGGGTGATACGGACTGGATCAATCTGGCTCAGGATAAGGACCAGTGGAGGGATCTTGTGAACACGATAATGAACGCTCGGGTTCCATAAAATGTGAAACCCTTGAGTAGCGCGAAGGCGACTCACGAATAATATCCTTTCAGAATAGGCGAATAAATAATTTTTGGCGTTTCTTAGTCCAATTTTAAAGGACATATTCTTATAATTTTAAAGTGTTCAGTGCATATAAATATTATTTCTATTCTTCCAATAAAAGAATAAAGAAAACTTGCTTGAGCAGCAGAGAACTGATGCCTCTATTTGAAACACAATGATCTGGAGGTTATGGTAGAAAGTATGGATCATCTGATGAATTCACAACATAATATGTAGGTCACATATAAACCTGGAGTGATTACGCTGTATCGCATGCCGAAGTGATCAATGGCATGGAACAAACTACAGCTGAGTGGGAAACTGGAGCATAATTGCTGCTGACTACAATAGGTACATAACCTGTATTACCATCGCATGGTCTGTGACCTTGGGGATTCATTTGCAGACAAAATAACTGCTTATGGTTGCAATATGAAGAACATTATTAATTACGTGCAGTATTTTAGACGAATAGGGGAAGTCTAGATACAGCTGTTCACATCTGAATCATACGTATTATATAAGCCCATAACAGGAGGACTTCATTAATATGCTTTATAAATCATGCCAGCTCAGTCCACACCAGTTTTCAATCCTCTCAAACCTCACATGGAGCTAAGTCCTTCTCGAGAAGCGGCCAGTTGCGAAGCTACTCAAGAACTTCCCAGCATTTTATGGATCCCGAAGGTTCATTACCGTGTTCACAAGAGCCCTCCACTGGTCCCTATCCTGAGCCAGATCAATCCAGTCCATACCATCCAATCCTATACCTCTAAGATCCATTTTAATATTATCCGTCCACGTGGTAGCCTAGTTGGTTGAGGCATTATGCTACAAGCCGGAAGGTCTCGTGGTTTCGAGTCCCGATAAGGTGGATTTTTTTTTTTTCAATTTACTTAATCCTTCCTGCCGCACTATGGCCCTGGGGTAGACCCAGCCTCTAACAGAAATGAGTACCAGGAATTTTCCTGAGGGGTTAAGGCCGCCCGGCGCGTAAGGTTGACAACCTCACCGTCATCTGTGAGCCGATTGTCTAGAAAACGTAAGAGCCTCGACGTCTCACAACCCTATGGGCCCCCACGGCCTGTTACAGGGATAGCTTTGCCTTACCTACGTATTTATCTTCCTAGTGATCTCTTTCCTTATGATCTCCCATAAATATCTCATATGCATTCCTCTTTTCCCCCACTCGTGCTACATGCCCTGCCCACCTCATCTTCCTTTACTGGATCATTCAAATTATACTTGGAGAAGAGTACAAGTTATGAAGCTCCTCATTATGCAGTTTTCTCCAACCTCCTGTCACTTCATCTCTCTTCGATCCAAATATTCTCAACACCCTGTTCTCAAACACCCTCAGTCTATGTTCCTCCCTTAATGTCAGAGACCAAGTTTCACACCCATACAGAGCCACAGGCAAAATTATAGTTTTGTGTATTCTAATTTCTATGTTTTTAGACAGCAAACAGGAAGGCAAAATGTTCTGAACTGAACGGTAGCAAGCATTACCGGAATTCAATAGTGATGGCCGAATAGTCACATAAATTTATATTTTATTTATTTTTTTGACTAATGCACAAAAGTGTCACAACATGATGCAGTGCCGAACCGAGCTCTTCACGGGAGTGTGCTCATGTCACGAGCAGAGCTTGCTGCTGCATGCATAAATAAACAGGATCAAAGCAAAGTTCATGATTGTAAGTCGGTGTTTATTGGTTTTTGGTAGAACATATGAGATCAGCCCGTTAGCTACCAGATGGCAGCATTTCCCAGCAGTTCTGCTACAGGCTATTTGAAAAACAAACAACATCATAAATAACATAATTAACATTTATTATCACATCATTAAAGGTATATTATGCTTTATAATTCTGGGGCGTAGCCGGTCACGGTAGCCGAGCGGTCTAAGGCATGCACTGCCTACGCTCGCTCGGAAGCCGAGATCGTCGGTTCGAATCCCACTCAGGGCATGGATGTTTGTGTGTGTTTTTCTGTGTTTGTCTACAGGTAGAGGCCTTGCGACGAGCTGATCACTCGCCCAAGGAGTCCTACCGTATGTGTAAGATCTAGAAAAACCGAAGTGAACGTAGTTCATGGAGGTAGGCCTAGGCCCACTGGGGCTGTAGTGCCAAGGGAAAAAATTCCGGGGCGTACATTTTCGCATATTCTCATAATATGACATAAACTAAATATGAAGTTTGACCCTAAAAATGTTTCGTTCGTTAGAAAAATGCTATATCAGACAATATGTGACATCTGTTGGAATTTTATCTAAACTACTTAGTCAAGAAACATTTCGGATTTCACCCTCTTCCTACACTAGAATTATTTTGTTCGATTTTATATTATTTTTCCACGAAAAAGGAGCGGAACTTATCACATGAAATGGCTGCTTGGTACAGAAAGACTTAAAGCTGCACTTCTAATGTTACGCGAATACAAATTTTAGATTCACTCCTAAATTTTTTTCCATTTTCAGAGAGATTTTGATATAATACATTTCAGTTATATACGTATTATCACATGTTTCTTTCAGTAACTTCATGGAGCAGAGTCTTCCTTGACAGGCTAACAATCGCTCAGAAGGTCTTCCGTGACAGCAGCAGCCTAGCAACCAGAGTGGTATTGACTCGAGTGTCACGAGAATAGTTCATTACATGGAACACAAAAATTTTTGGCTTATTTCTGTACTGCAACATATGAGTTATTGAATTGCGTTTTAAATGGCACACTCTGTATAATCATCAGGGACCAACCAACGGCTAGGTGCCTCCGTAAGTCAAGCAAAAGTTTACTCTTTCTGTGATGTGAACTTGCGATGTTGTAACAAAGACCTCTTCTGTATAGAGCAAGGCATCTATCCGCCTGTTAACTTTTAAACAGCGTGCGGTTATTTCAACGAATCTGAGCGAAACTTATTAAATTAAACCGGTCACTGGTTCTCTTGCGTCACCAGAAGACACTAATGTGTTCCTTTCGAGGAGGACAGGGAATTGGGATAGACGCGGGTAGACGCCACCTGGTTAGTTCAATAATACTGCATTTTGAGCAAATTATTTCCAGTGCCTTAAAACGTAATTAACTATTGTCCCCAAGAACAATAGGCCTATACACAGGTAACGTTGTTCCTGTGCTTAACTAAGGCGTATGGGGGAACAGATGTATAGATCATAATTTTTTGACATCGGCACTAGATGGTGAGTGGTCAGCCTCACGCCTCGGCCACTTTACCCCCAGGGAAAGAGCCCCCGGTACTCATTGGATAGGAGGCTGTTTGTACGACGTGGAGAGGAGAAAATTCTTGCTCCCACCGGGACTCGAACTCCGATCCCTCGGCCGTCCAGCACGTAGCCAGTCGCAATACCGCTAAGCTAACCCGGCTCGTATATATGAACAAATTCCTTGCGGCGATTGGTCAGGATTCAAGTCGAAGATGTCCAGAACAGAAAACACGAAGTGTAGCCACTAGAACAACATAAACGAAATGAACTGGTGAGGCGATCGAAGTGTGTAGATACGGTTCGATAATGATTGGAACTTGTAACAGCCGCAAAGAGGTAACACGCCAAGAAAGCTTGCAACCATAAAGCGACTGAGAAGAGTTACGATGCCATAAATAAATAATATTGCTCTCGCCTCGTAATAATGCCTTGCCAAACACATTTACGGTTGTCGGGGAAATACCAGTGACGTAGCGATGTCGCAGATCTAGGAGCGATAATTTCTATGAATCGTTGAGGGTTTGTAGGTCCACGTTAAACGAATGTTGTGAGGTGTCGTCTCCTCAGCCCCGGATGACAGATGACGAATGGTTGAGCAGTGGAATAAAAATTGACAGGGGAAATCGAAGTATTCGGAGAAAATCTGCTCCAGTGCCACTTTTTCCACCACGAATCCCACATGCCCTGAACTGGGCTCGAACCTGGGCCGCAACGGTGAGTAGCTGGACACTAACCGCCCGAGCTATGGCACGGTCAATCACTATAGTAAGTCCAGGATCAATTACGGATTAAGTATTATATAATTCTGTATTTCTGTATGGGTGTGAAACTTGGTCTCTAGTTCCCGGAAAGAGATTAATGGTTAAAATGTAAATTTATGAATTCTGTGTAATTCCAGACGTCACGTGTGTTCTGTTGAGAAGGCTGTGACCCAGCCAGTGAAGACTTTACAGTCGTATTGTAAGCCGGCACTGAAGCCTTACACTCAGCCCTGTCTAGACAACAAGAGCTGCAACGGAGTACGGTAGGTGCCACAAGCAAAACGCTTTTCATATTAAACACCATACCTAAAACATCTCTGAGGGTGTGTCGTCATTACGGTCACTAAACTGTGTTTTCCACGAACCATGAGAAGCAAAATCACCACACTGGAGATATTGTTGAACAAACAGAACTTTCTTTTTCCTTAAGGTTCCCTACTCAATGTGTAATGTACCCTAAAAACGTTGTAGGGTTTTTATATTAAAATTATGTATATACAAAAATTAGTTAGGCAATGCCCATCCGGCCCATGCTTTAGACGTACAGTAATTGATATTTCTGCCATCTATGGAGAAATGTTAAAACATATACCATATTCGTGGCGAATATTACGTGTCGTACAACTAAATAAGGTAAAATGTGTCTATAACATTTCTGAGCGTACTGTAAAGTTTATTACATTATATTTCCAACACGCGATTGGAAGCAAAATCAACATACCAGAGATCTTGCTCAACAAACAGGGAAGATATATAATGAGACAGTCCACACAACAATAGTTCTGAAAGAGATAAAATAGACACTACCGTGTCAACATTCGTTTCTAGGTATTAGTTGTTGGTGGTAGCGCTACATGTTTCGACCCTTTTCTTGGGTCTCCTTGTGTAGACTGTGCCATGACACACAACAGGATGTATATCATAAAGACTGTCAACATAACAGGACTTTTCTTCCGCGAGGTTGTCAACTTAAAGTACGACGTACTTTGACAAATGTTTTAGGCGTACAATACTTGCTATTTTTGCGAAATTCTGAAGAAGCGAATGCAGTAGTCTAACGCTGTCATGTCTCATCACCGAAATTGACAAAATCGGGTTCAGAAGAGCAGATATTAAACATTTAAAAATAGTGGAAAAGAAAATGTTTCGGAACGACAACAGAAAACCAAAATTACATTCACTACGAAGAAAGAACAAACTCCGTGGCCTGTAGTCCGCAAGCGAACTATACCGACCGAGCGACCGCCTCCTGTCGGCGAAGTTAGTGCCAACTTTTGCGGATAGATGGTGTCGCGTGCTCAGCGCAACGAATCCCCACCGCCGTTAATTTCGGTTTTCGAGACCGAGCCCCTACTTTTCCATTCAAGTAGCTCCTTAATTATCCTCACGAGGCTGACTGGACCCCGTTCCAGACCCACTACTTCTCAGAAAATCTGGTAGCGCTGGGAACGAACCCGGACCTCTGGATCTGTAGCCAGGAACTCTGACCACTAGACCACAGAGGCGGTCACATTCCCTACGAAGATAATAATTTAAATTGAGAAGTGGGTGTTGAGGAAAATATCTGAACTTGACAGAGGGGCAGTGGCGCGCGGTACTATTTTTGGTAAGGGAAGCAGTGGTATCTAATAAACGAACTGATAGCAATCAACTCAACAAAATTTACGTCGCTTATCGAATCAATAAGGTCGTTTTGTATTCTGTTCGATAAACCTGTAAATACTGTACTGTTCTCAAAGTGAACATTGAGTTTATGATCATATTTCCTCAACAAGTGAACTAATTCCACATAATTACCTCGGTCGAAAGAATCCGCGCTTTCGTCATGACCGCGGAGGACCTAAATGGCAGATGGTATCAATCAAGCGTTTCATTATTTCTCTATTTTCTTTCACATTTTCATTATGCTGTAGTATCGTCTGGCGCTTTTGATTGTCAAGTTGACAGTCAATTCGAGATTTCCCGAACATAACAAGTTGCACTGTTGAAATAATGTGAGTCTGAGAGTTATCGCATCGTTTCAATGCTTTATGAAGGTTGTTGATGTCACCAAACCCAGTCTTGTTCCATACATTTTTTTTCATTGAGAAACAACAGGCATAGCCAACAAAACAATTTTCCTATATTACGGCAACCGGATAGCCACTCTGTTTTAGAAACTGTTCCAAATTAAATTTCCTCACACATAATTTGGGTTGTGCTTTAAGTTCTGGCAACTCCTCTTTCTATAATTATTTTCTTTTCAGAAAAGTCCCTGCTATTAAACCTCCGTTTTAAAAGGCTTTCTATTGCACAGTCGCAGTCGCGTTGTCTGCCAGCATTCATTTTAGCTGTTGTGCGTGTAGTATAATCACGCCCCTGCCCTCGTACCACAGTGTCAGACTTGCTTCCCTTAAATGCGGATAGATTCTTTCTGATGCGTCAAAATAGATCAGAAATACAATCTTACGCCATATAAATATGCACTTGCAATATTTTAATAACACTTAATGTTACCTGAAATCACACATAAACAGTTAATTTTCACATAATCATCGAAAGAATACATTCCTTCGCTGGCCTAGCCAGCAAACCGAAATTTGCTTCCCTTTGCCCATTCGGATTAGACGAATTATTACGAAGATTAACGAAAGGAAACTTGGTCCGTCCCACCAAGCAGGGGAAGGGAGAAGGAAGAGGCATGTGGCCTTGTGCGGGAACACGCGCTAAATGACAATATTCAAATCCTTATTATTCAAGTTGAATTATTTACATATGACTTCTTTTCTTTTCGTTTCTTAACTACGGAAGCAATGCTTCCCCTGCTTCCATGCACAGCACGCCACTGCAGAGGGGGAGTAACAGGAGAACTAAGAGACTTTAAAACTCAGAGACCTGTTCTTCGCCTAATGAAATATTATTAGGGTAAATAAGATTAGGTCGGTGGGACATGCAGCGTGCATGGGTGACATGACAAACATAGAGACCTATGAGATAATAATATTAAAACTGATCTTAAAGAAACACAACGTAAAGCTGTTGGCAAAGTCCAGTGAAGGGCTCCTGTGAATGAGGCAAGGAACCTCAGCTCCTAGCTCTTTCTAACGGGCCCAACTGAGTAGGTCTATCCTGCCCCATCCACCTGAGGACGGAGACAGATCCAGTCTCCGAAACGTTGTGGTTTTTTGTCTTATATATACCAGACGATGGATAGAGTCCAAAATAAACCTCATAGTTCTGTACAGCATTACACCATCGTCAGAATCCTTTCAAGTCAACCTCAGAGTTGTGTAACAGGTGAGGAATTTCTCGACTAGGTTAGCGCCATCAGCTTCTCAAGAAGGATCTATTTTACGGGGTTTTTATTTCTGTATATACTCGTGTTATAAAATAATGTGTTGGGGAATTACATGCGTCTAAAAATTTCTTGAGCATTCTTATCCAACTGCGAAGGCGAATTTCCTCAAAATTGTGACCTTGGCAAAGAATTGGGTCTTAAGGAAAGATGTTAAGTTTGAGGAACTAGGCTCTTTGTTAACATTCATTAAAGTCCTTATAATTAATTTGTCCTTAGCGAGGAGGCTGTCGAAGCGGTAACAATCTAGACCCCTATATTTTGGAGGTGTTCGTCCGGGTCACCAGCTATCCTGAATGAGGATTTTCGTGGGTTCCCTCTGTCCCACCAGGCAAATGCAGGGATCGTACATCGATTAGGTCATAACCTCTTACTTCCGAGGTCTTTCGAATTGATTATTCAATTAATCATAATATTCGGCTCTGTGGTCTAGTGGTAAGAGTTCCTGGCTACAGGTCCAGAGGTCCCAGATATGATTCCCGGCGTTACCAGATTTTCTGAGATGTAGTGGGTCTGGAACGGGGTCTTCTCAGCCTCGTGGGGATAATTGAGAATCTGTTTCTGGGAAATAGCGGCCCCGATCTAAAAAACCGAAATTAACGGTCGTTGGGATCCGTTGCGCTGACCACGCGACACTCTATCTGCTGAAGTTTGCACTAACTTCGACGACAAGCGGCGGTCGCTAGGTCGGTATAGCTCGCTTGCGGACTACAAACTACGGAGTTTTTTTTTTAATATTCGGCGCTATACATGATCTAGCTATTGAAAGTGTCGTAACCTAGCCTACAGAAAATAGCAATTGCTTCACTGAGCATAGAAATACATAGCTACAATAATATGTTTACAATAATAATAAATATTACAAAACACACTGGAACAGGCGACTGATATCGGACGCCATTACAGCCTTACCTCAAGCAAATGAGTATCTGAAGTGCATTGTCTTCAGGGATGTGACACCGTTTATTCCGACAGATGTTTATCGACGTTTCGGATGAACACACTATTTCCAATTCAGGGTCGAAAATACGCTAAGCAAGTAATCGGCTAGAAAACAGGCAGCAAACTCAGCGACTGAGAGAGCTCTGTTTACTGCTCATTTCTTGCTTGGATGACCTATTTTTCAACCCTGAAGACTGAGGCAATATATTCCTCCGAAACTTTGGTGAACTTACAGCAAACTATATGGCGTTACATTCCATAGTCATCGCTGGGCGAACATCAATTCCAAGAGATATATCATGATATACACGTAGAATCCACTGAATATTTTCTGTGTGCACACAAGTTAGAAATTGTGGACACACGTAACCAAATTTTGCGGGTTGGTAAAAATAGATACAAATGGAAAAACGCGGTTGGAGAGGGAATGTTATAATTAAAAAATGTCTACATTATTCAGGTTCCCTTGCAGTGGCGAAAGTAATTGGTTGATACACAAAACTGCAATAACAGTGGTTAGGTACATAACCTCACACTTTTGTAAAAGCTTCATAGGGTTTCACAACTCTGATTCGGTTCCCTTCGCAGGTTGGTGTACGAAACAGCATTCAGAACCATATACGAGACCAAAATCAATCGATACACAAGCTACATCTGTTGTCCAGGATGGACGCAAATCACCAAAATTGACCACGGATGCAACAAAGGTAACAACTTAGTTCTATAATCCGTGCTTCAAGGAGTTACAACTCATATGATTCTATACACCTTCTTGAAAATCTATTAAAAAAAAGTGAAGCTATCACTGTAACAGGCGGTGAAGGCCCATAGCGTTCTGAGACGCTGAGGTTCCCACATTATCTAGACAATCGGCCGCCCTTTACCCCCAGGAAGATTCCCGGTACTCATTTCTGTTAGAGACTGAGTCTCTAACAGGCTGGAAGGGTCGGGTAAAGTGAAAAATCTAAACACTTCATCGGAAATCGAACCAACGACGTCCCGGCTTGTAGCACAGTGCCTCAACCAACTACGCTACTGCGTACCCCGTCCTTTTAAAAATCCATACGAATATTATTAAATGTTGAATATAATTAAATATAAACCTGCCTGAAAGATTAATGATAACATCATATTCGAGTTTGACATTAGTCATGTTTAACAGTTATACCGCATTTTATTATAATTAGTTTCAATCTATATAATATTCTTCCAAGGTTTCACATTGATCACTTTCAATGATACTGCACTTTGTTGTTTTTTCCCCTGCAATACTGTGACCACGCATGACATGATTTACTATCCGAAAAAAAAAAAAACACAGTGCAGATGTTTCCCATTAACCTTCGGAAGCATGGAGAAATAAAATGAAATAAAATCTAGTTGGAGCACCAAACAGGCGGTGTGATACATCGGCTTCATATATGAAAGCTATCCAGGGTCTCAGCGGTGTACGTTAGCCTGGGTGTACTTGAACAAAATTTATTATTTCATAGTTTTGTGAACTAATGTACAAAAAGGTCGCTAAATTATAATTGTCTGATTAAATACACGTTGCATAATTTGGAAGAGTGGGGTCTAATTTCGGGGGGATCTCCAGAGCAAAGAGATGCTGAATTAAATCGGGAGGGTTGTGTGAGAAGCAGGGAATTTATTTAAATAATATATAAAAATTCACCACGTTTTCCTTACAAAAACCAATAGGATAAGCTGTTTATGGAAATAATCGCTACGTTAGAGACTTCTATGCATGGTGTTCGTACCTTCTGTTCGGTATGAAACTTGAAATAACCGGTGTCAGTAAGGCTAGTGTTGGCCGCGCCATAGCTCAAGCGGTTAGTCGCTGGCTTCCCACCGCGGCGGCCCGGGTTCGATCCCGGGTCTGGTAAAGTGGGATTTGTGGTGAACAAAGTGGCGCTGGGGCGTGTTTTCTCCGAGTACTTCGGTTTCCCCTGCCAATCTTCATTCCACCAAATTCACCATCATCATAATCACCCGTGGTAGGTACAATAGGCCAATCAGTGGCTGCCGTGCCGAGTGGACCCAGTCGGACTCCACCCCCCCACTAAGCGAATTAAAAAGAAAGGCCAGTGTTACGCCCTATCGTCATACACTGTTTTGATTTGCCTTTGTTTCAGCTGTGTGCACGCGCTTATGCCTGAACGGTGGATCCTGCGTCAAACCGGATATGTGTGTCTGTCTCCCGGGCTTCACTGGAAAGCAGTGCGAGACAGGTATGTATCAAGCAGCTAGTTACGTAATGCAAACGCGGCGGCCCGGGTTCGATCCCGGGTCTGGTCAGGTGGGATTTGTGGTGGACAAAGTGGCGCTGGAGCGGGCTTCTCCTGCCAATCTTCATTTCACCAAATTCTCCATCATCATAATCACCCGGGGCAGGCTACAATAGGCCAATCAGGGGCCGCCGTGCCGAGTGGACCCAGTTGGACTCCACCCCTCCCCCCACTAAGCGAATTTTTTACGTAATGCAAATCTTACGGACGTCTCCATGTGTCCCACATCGCATTACGTCAATGTACAATCTTTTTTCTGAAAATACATTTGCAGGCTAAAATTTTCGCACCAGTAAAATTTCTTATTAGATATAAGTTGGTGTAAATTATTAATTAAAATTAGTACTCGAGCTTAAGTATCGCTTACTCCATGACTTCCGTGTTTCTTTACATTCTTACCGTCTCCTTTCGAAACCCACCCTTCTAAGTTATACAAAAAATTTGGCATTAACCATCTTCCCATTACTACAGCAACAAACTGTCCAGCATCGAAGACCATGAACGCAAGTTATGCAGTAGTTCACAGTTTCATTGTATCGTGTCTATAGTGTGATATTTTTCTTTCTTGACACTAGAGCCCCAGTGGACCTAGACCTACCTCCATGAACTTCTCCGCTCACTTCGGTTTTTCTAGATCTTAGACATTCGGTAGGACTCCTTGGGCGGGTGATCAGCTCGTCGCAAGGCCTCTACCTGCACACAAACACAGAAAAACGCATACATACAAACTAAACATCCATGCCCTGAGTGGGATTCGAGCCCGCCATCTCGGCTTCCGAGCGAGCGAAGACAGTAACATGCCTTAGACGGCTCGACTACCGTGACGGGCCTATTGTGTGATTACTAACAATATTTTAATGTGGATACGCGAAATGCAGAAAACAAGACTGCTGAATTCTCACTGGGCGTGACATTAGTGAATAAATAAAAGGTAAAAAGTAAAGTTGTCCCTGTGCTTAACTAAGCACTAACGTACAGCTCCACCATTCTTGACCTCGGCATTAGTTGGAAGTGAGTGCTCAGTTCCAGTCCCTAGCCACTTCACTCCGGTACCCATTGGACAGGAGGTTGGGTGGACCCCAGAGCCGGTCTGGACGACATGGAGAAAATTCTTGACCCTACCGGGACTCCCTCGGTCGTCCAGCCCGTAGCCAGTCGCTATTCCCGCTCCAGTGAATAAATATAATAAAAATAAAATAAATAAGAAGACAAGGGGATCTCAAGCTTACCTAAGATATTATACTGATCTGACCCTTCAGTTACGTCCCGGCTGAAGCAGAGTTCGGTATGCAGGCGAGCTATCCTAAGGGCGTTCGTGATTTACCCACATGAATGTCGCGATAATATTCTAGCGGCCCACAAGTCATGACCACTTCCCCCTCCACCTCTCTTCACAACCATCCACCCATCTATCGGTGGGCGTCGCATAATTCTTACAGCTTATGCACTATCGTTTCATGACCTACGAAACAAGTCAGCTACAAACAGGATACAGTGTATATACGATAGCACGACCGTGAACTCATTCTATTTTCCAGATAATGATGAATGCATAGAGAAGCCATGTGACCATACATGCATCAACACAAATGGCAGTTTCTATTGCCGATGCCATGATGGATTTGACTTGGAAAGTGACGGACGATCATGTAGAAGTCATGAAGGTATGGACAGCTACGTTTGATGGAGATATGATTCAGGGCAACTCCATGTCTAAACCACATCATTAAGAAATGATACACGTAAATCTAAGAATTTTGCCCCTTCCTTCGAATAAATATGGAATTCAGTGATGTTGCAGGGGAGAAGGAACACGTGGGGGGAAGCTCCCACCCCCAGACTAGTGGGATATGATACCGATTTTTCATTTAGAAAAGTAAATGTATATACATATACATATATTGTTTTTTATGTACAAAACTATAATTTTGCCTGTGGGTCTGTATGGGTGTGAAACTTGGTCTCTGATCTTAATGGAGGAACATAGTCTGAGGGTGTTTGAGAACAGGGTGTTAAGAATATTTGGACTGAACAGAGATGAAGTGACAGGAGGCTGGAGAAAATTGCATAATGAGGAGCTTCATAACTTTTACTCTTCTCCAAGTGTAATTAGAATGATCAAGTCAAGGAGGATGAGGTGGGCAGGGCATGCAGCAAGAATGGGGGAGACGAATGCATATAGGATATTGGTGGGAAAGCCAGAAGGAAAGAGACCACTGGGAAGACCAAGGCGCAGGTGGGTGGACAATATTAAAATGGATCTTAGAGAGATAGGATGGGATGGTATTGATTGTATTGATCTGGCTCAGGATAGAGACCAGTGGAGGGCTCTTGTGAACACGGTAATGAACCTTCGGGTTCCATAAAATGCTTGGAAATTCTTCAATTGCTGCAGAATTGGCGGCTCCTCAAGAAGGGCTCAGCTCCATGAGTATCAGTAAGAGTAAGTATGTAGGCGAGTCAAATGAAAACCTTAAATATTTTTTTGAGTATTATTTATTGTGCACAAGTGGTACAAAGCTGTATCACTTTTCAACATAATCTCCCCCACGCTCAATGCAAGTCCTCCAGCGCTTACAAAGTGCATGAATTCCTTTAGAACAAAGTTCTTCTGGTAGTCCGTGCAACCACTCATGCACCGCGTGGTGTACCTCTTCATCAGAACGGAACGTCTTTCCTCCCATTGCTTCTTTGAGTGGTCCAAACATATGGAAATCACTTAGGGCAAGGTCTGGTGAGTATGCCGGATGAGGAAGACACTCAAAATGCAGGTCATTGACTGTCGCAACTGTTGTATGGGCAATGTGGGGCCTTGCATTGTCATGTTGCAAAAGGATACCTGTGGACAGCAATCCACGTCGCTTTGATTTGATTGCAGGCCGAAGATGATTTTTAGGAGATCTGAGTATGATGCACTGGTGACAGTGGTCCCTCTAGGCATGTAGTGCTCCAAGATGACGCCTTTTTCATCCCAAAAAAGAGTCGGCATAACCTTCCCTGCTGATGGTTGTATTTGAAACTTCTTTGGTTTTGGAGATGAGGAATGGCGCCATTTCTTGCTTGCTCTCTTCGTTTCCGGTTGGTGGAAGTGAACCCAGCTTTCATCCCCAGTAACGATTCTTGCAAGAAAGTCATCACCTTCTCGTTCAAAGCGCCGCAGAAGTTCTTCACAAGCATCAATACGTTGGTCTTTCAATTCAGGAATCAGTTGCCATGGCACCCATCTTGCAGACACTTAGTGAAACTGGAGCACATCGTGCACAATGTGGTGTGCTGAACCATGACTAATGTTTAAACTTGCTGCAGTTTCATTCAATGTCACTCGGCGGTTTTTCCTCACTATGGCTTCAACTGATGCAGTGTTCTCTGGAGTCACAACTCGATGTGCCTGACCTGGATGAGGAGCATCTTCCACTGAAGTCACACCATTTGCAAACTTCCTACTCCATTCGTACACTTGCTGCTGTGACAAACATGCATCACCATACTCAAACTTCATTCTTTGATAAATTTCAATAGGTTTCACACCTTCACTACACAAAAACTGAATAACAGAACGCTTTTCTTCCCTGGTGCAAGTCTCAAGTGGGGCAGCCATCTTATACTGGTGCTGTGACGGTGTTCGTGCATCTGCACTATGCTGCACGCTGTTTGTAGCACGCTTACCAACTTACAGGATAATGTCGTGAAATTTCGATTTTTTCATTTGACTCACCCTCGTATATACAAAAAAGAAAAAGGCCTAGGCAATGCCCATCTGGCCCTCTGTAGCACATTCTTATAAACTTCTTATTCTATCACAGTTTCTCAGGCTTCTACAGGTCCACTGAACAATCTGAATTGGTTGATTCCCGTTGAATTTTGTTGTCATCTTGACTGTGAAGCTCGACAGCTTTCCACAGGTGTCTTATCATTGCTTTAGCGTCCCTAGAGTTTATCACCACTATGGTACTGACTTCGTCCTCCATCTGAATGGACCCCAACTTGTCTACAGACATCTCTAACACTATCTGGTCTCTTGAACTGTCCCTACTCTCTACATTGTTTGGACTTGGTTCAGATATTTCAGTCCTGCTATCTGTGGCCATCTTCCATCTTCAGGCGTGTGCCCATACTACAAATCCTAATAATCTAATTGTGAGCACAGCAAAAATTATACCTAAATTGCCAGTTTTTTTCCTTTTTACTGGAACATTGAAGATGGAATCAGTAGATTCTGCCAAAAAAAAAAAATGTACCTGTCTATTGGACTACATAGCTTGACAGCCTGGGATGCAGGAATATTGAAAATTCCTCTCTTCTTCACCAACCAAACTTCTCTGAAACTTGCGGATTCACCCAATACCATGGGTGTTGCAGACTCTCCCATAAGAGGGCAAAGGGTCCAGAACATCAAGTTTACCATTCATATTCATCTAGGCCCCAGCTTAAGAATGCATGGAACTTCAGCTCCATACCCTACAGAAGACTTAATGGCATGACAATTACATAAAGCAACAGCTGTTTTGTGATAGAGCTAGCATATTTCGACTTCAATTATGTATCCAAATTAGATAACCTCAGACATAAAATAAAGAAATTCAATGTATCACAACAAGACTGGACGACATAGTAATCAAACTCCTGCAATAACATTCTTCCCTGATTACAGATAAGACTAACTCCATGGAGCTGAGTCCTTTCGAGAAGCTGCTAGTCGATTAACTACTCAAGAATTTCCCAACATTTTACAGAATGTGAAGTTCATTACTGTGTTCACAAGAGACTTCAGTTGACCCATATCCTGCATTGGATAAATCCAGTCCATACCAGCCCATTCTATTCCTCTAAGATCCATCTAAATATTATCCCCCATCTATGTATAGGTCTCGCTAGTGGCCTATTTCTTTCTGGCATTCCCATCAAAACAATATATACATTAAGAAGAAAGCAGTCTTCTGGGATGTGGCACCGTGTAGATGTGGTGTTGACCGACATTTCAGAGGAACGTATCGTCTCCATCTTCAGGGTAGAAGAATTTTCTTATTTTTCCATCTACCCTGAAGATGGAGGCGATACGTTCCTCCGAAACGTCGGTTAACACCACATCCCAGAAGACTGCTTTCTTCATAGTCACCGCCGTGAAAACCTCAAATCTTACACAATATATACATTCATCTTGTCCCCATCTCAAAATATGACTTCCAAAAAATGTTAAAAACTGACACTTATAGTGGACATTTTACACCGTTTTGTTTCAGTTAAAAAACGAAACAAATCCTTCGTAAGCTTGCTCGGTTTCTGCCATCTACTGAAGTGTGAAACCTCCTCTGTTGAGCCCTTCAGATGGAGCTGATCTCTATTTCAGGACAATTAGCTCCACTGAACCCAACAGAGTAGGTTTCACCTGATAATGGAAGCAGAGACAGCTTCTAGATGTTTGTTTCTTAAACCAAAATGAGACAATGGAAAATGTCCAATTTACGTGTCAGTTTAATATCACACCATCCCAAACCTTTAAAGGTTGATTAATATAAATTATGTCCATTGTTCCAATATAAACTGAAATTTCCCTTCAGACGTATGTTTAGTAAAATGAAGTATGTGTACAGCCAAGGAAGTTACACATTTATGCCATACAACCTAGTCTGTTCATTTACTTGTCTACTCTTATTTATTTTGCAGGAAAAGTTGCAACAGAAGCTAGGGACCTCTTAGACTATGACATTCTTGCAAAGAGAGTACAGAAAATCAAGAAAGTAAGTTGACATTCAGCTCCCTGTAATAGCCAATTAACAAAATAACATTACAAATTGTCTTAAGAGGAAGAATTCAGACACACAGAAGTGACCACTACATTCAGTTTATCATATCTAAATATGTCATTGTATCACAGTTAATCTTAGATGAGTCAGTATAGTGACAGGCTACAGGCTGAAGAGCCAGGGTTCAATTCCTCTGCAGCCTGCAGATCAGCTCTGGGGCACACCCAGCCTCCTATCTGAAGGGTACATGGGGCTCTTTCCCCAGGGGCAAAGTGGCCAAGGCGTGAAGCTGACCACTCACCTACATCCAGTGCCGAGGTCAAAAATGGTGCAGCTATACCTTCACTCCCCCACACGTCTTCATGGTGGGGTTGCTTAATTGAGCACAGGGAATACTTTACCTTAATTACAAGTAATCAAACTGTGCAACCTTTTGGGAGTGCAAGCCATAATGGAAATTACAAAGTTTACTGCAGGCCAGGTTAAAGTTTTAGTACTCACTGATGTAAATTAAAAATTACTTTAAAATAATTGTTTGATTTTACTGAACTAATTCAAACTATTACGTGAACTCATTATCATGTTGGACATTTCTAAACTACTCGTCATCATTAAATAATTTATGAATCAATACAGTTTGTACAGATAAACATGACATCATTACCAATTCTGTCACTGCAGGTGATGGTACCACCATCTGATCCAACCACAGACCAAGCAATATCACAGCTTAATGACAAAGTTAAGCTGATTATTGAAAACATAGCACAACTAAGGCACCAGCTCAATGATATCGTAAGTAGAGATACATAGAGGAAATGTTTGTTCTATTATAGAGTCTGTTATCCATAAATTCTGACTTCAACCTATTCACAAATCAAATAATTCCAAACTTTCAACCATTTCTCATTCCTGGTTGTTGTAAAGGTATTTTGAAAATTGTTAATTCCCATTGCTTCTCATATTTGTGTGTCTTATGGTAAAGCCTGTTTCTTGGGTGAGATGTGAGCTTCTCATGACGATGAGTATAAAAAGTACTTCATTCTGAGATGTTACACCATGTATTCCATATAGATCTACCAGTGTTTTGAAGGATTGTGCTCAGGTTCTAAGAACATGTGAAGCATTCACACAAGCACCATTTCTGCTTGTTTACTCTTTGACCCTGAAGATGGAAAAAGTGCATACCTCCAAAATATCCAGTATATAGCACTCTTCCTGTTTACTGAGTTTGACAAAATAACAAATATAATGTAAATATCATCTCTGGTGCATATACAGGGAATGGACAAAAAAATATGGAAACACCCAACAAAAAACACATTACTGTGACTAATATGGTGTAGGACAACCTCTGGCTTGCAGAACTGCTTGCAGTCTCCTTGGAATGGATAAACTGAGGTCCTGTATGATTTGCAAGGGAATCTTGTACCATTCTTCCTGAAAAACATTGTAAGTTCTGTTATTGATGATGGAGGTGGATAGCGCGCACGCAGATTGCTCTCCAAAACAGAACACAAAGGCTCAATAATATTGATATCTGGCGACTGTGGGGGCCATGGCAGACGTGACACTTCATCTTCGTTCTCAGAAAACCAGTCCTGGACGATGCGAGCTATGTGAACACAGGCATTGTTGGCTTGGTAAATGGCATCACCATTAGGGAACAAAGTTTGCACCATGGGATGGACCTGGTCGCCCAAAATGGTCACAGTCGTTGGCAATGACATGACCTTGCAGGGTAATGATGGGTCCAACAGAATACCACTATATGGCTGCCCATACCATGATTGAACCCCTGCCATGTTTCACTCTTGGCAGCAAACAATCTGGATTGTAAGCTTGGAATGGCGTTCTCCAGATGTAAACTCGGCCAGAAGTCGGAAACAGTGTGAAGGTGGACTCGATCCGACCAAATGACCATCTTCCATTGCTCCATAGTCCAGGTTTTATGACTCTGGCACCACATTGTCCTCTTAGTGGCATTTTGATCGCTGATGAGTGGCTTTGGAATTGCAGCTCGTCCAGAAATACCCTGCTTGTGGAGTTCCCTTCGTACTGTTTTGGTGCTGACAGGGATTGTGAGCGTGACATTCAGTTCAGCAGTCACTTTTGCAGCTGTACTCTTCTCATTTTTCGTCACAATCCTATGCAATGTTCGTCTGTCTCGATCACTCAACACACATTTCCGTCCACGCTGGTGTTTATCGGATGCAGTTTTCTCAGTCCTCCTGTATGCGGTCATAATCTTGGATACTGTGCCTCGCGAAACACCAAAAACCTTCGCTACCTTGGTTACAGAAGTACCCACCATACGGGCCCCCACAATTTGCCCGCGTTCGAATTCTGTTAGCTTTGACGTGATGCACAAAAAATTGCACAGAACACTGTCTCGACAACAAATGAAGCTTCCAACATATTGCGGAGGTTGTACAGGTAGTGGTGTTGGGCAGATACGACAGCGTGACCTACAAACATCGCTAAAATAAACACTTCAATTCAGGCATGCATTTCATGAGGTGTTTACATATTTTTGTCCATCCCCTGTATGAGACTTAACTGTACTTTACAAACCAGTGTTTCATTTTGGAGTCCTAGTTCTGAACTAAACTGTTAAATACAGATTAAATTAATTATATTTTTCTGTCGGTTTTTAATTTTGGATTTTACTTGTGCCATAAAATTCACTTAATTTTCCACAAAAATAAAACTACCTGATTTAATTTAATTTTGATACTAGCCTTTAGTTCTCTAAAAACAAGACAGTCTTTCCCATGTGTTTTTAGGTCATATATCATCATCCATATATTCCCCCCCCCCAGGACTCAACTTCTCTCACTGTTTCCAAACATCACAACAACACAGCTTGGTATTTATGGTATGGAAGATAGTACACTCTCACTTCTCATGGCATCACTGCCTCATTCAGTGCTTAGACTTCAAGAACCAACAGGATGGTGACGAAATGTAACAAAATACTGGAAAGTTATCGTAAAGTTCTCTAGTTTATGACAGTATGCCCTGCATAGCGCAACACGTCGCAGTATTATCGGTATTGTACTATTTCAGTGATCCTAGTGTCTATATATATTTGAGGATTTTGTTTCGGCCTACCTTGATGTTGTCCAGGGTTTGTTCGTGGCTTGCTGTGTTGTTTTCACTGTTCTAGAGTGTGCTGTGTCGCATGATTTATACTTGTTGTGTTTGTGACATTAGTGTGGGCGTGTTCTCATGATGTATTATGAGGTTGAACATATTACGTTGGCTATTACTTTCTTTTTTATGTTTTTGTTCTTCTTCATTTATCAGTTTATTGAACTTATTAAAGTGACATATGTGGAAGTCCTCTTTTATATTCATTATGATTCCATTTTTAGCTTTTTTAATCATTTCCATGATTACTGTCATCGGCCCATACTGATGGTGTTTATTTAGTACGTGCTGGGCAAATGCCAATTCGTCTTTGTTTAGTCTTATATTTCTTATGTGTTCTTTGTATCTAGTTGTTAGATTTCTACCTGTTTGGCCAATGTATACTTTTTGGCAGCTTGGGCATGTTAATTTCTATATACCACTTTGTTCATATGGGTTTATTTGTCGTGTTTCGTTTATTAGATTACCTATTGTGTGTGTTGTTTTAAAGGCTATCTTTATGTTAGTGTTTTTGAACAGTTTTGTGATTTTTCGTATGTGGTTTCCAGTATAAGTGACCCATTTTTTTCTTTTTTGTCTTTGTTATCTGGGTTACTTATCTTTTGTTTAAGTTTGTTATACAGGTGTGTGATGTCTTCCTTTCTACAGCCATTATTTAGTGCTATATTAATGATAGTGTTTAATTCTTTGTTTTTCTCAAGTGGTAGTGTAAGAAGTCTGTGTATCCAGTTTTTATATGCTGCTAGTTTTTGTTCTTTAGGGTGGCATGATTTATTATTTATAGTTTCATCTGTTGATGTGTGTTTTCTGTATATTTCCATTTCTATTTGTCCGTGTCTGCTAAATAGGTTTAAGTCCAGGTACGTTATTTGGTTGTTTACTTCCTCATTTATTGTGAATTGCAGGTTTTTATGTTGTCTATTGAAATGTTCGAGGATGCATTGGGGGGTTATTTTTGTTTGATTACATATTATGAGGATGTCGTCTACGTATCTGTTGTAGTACTTGATTTTCTCATCTTCCAGCAGATGTTTTATTCTGCCTTGTTCTATGCTTTGTAGGAAGATTTCTGCCATTGTACTTGATATAGGGGAGCCCATGGCTACGCCTGTTCTTGGTTTGTAATATTTTCCGTTATATTGAAGATAGTTTTGGTTCAATATCATTTTAAGTATGGACATTATTTCTTTTATAATGCTTTTGTTCATATGATTATCCTTAAGTAGTTTATGGGTTACAAGAAGTGTACTGCTGATTGGGATATTAATGTATAGGTCCTTAATATCCAATGTTAAATTTATGATTTGCATTTAGTTTTAGTTTTCTTATGTTTTCTGCAAATTGTATTGTGTTAATGATGTTGTACTCGTAAGGACCGAAACATGTAAGGGAGATAAGTTTTAACGTAGTAAAAACTTATATGTCACATTGGATGGAGTGGTTTGTATTTATAATTGTTAGTGTGATGGACCAGAATGAAACAAATCAAATTTTATAAGGGTCTATGCCTTACCAGGAGAGACATCAAAATGAATATCATCAACAAATGGAAAACATCAAACCCTACAGGACGGAAATGCAACGCATAAACACGCTCTGTGACCAAGTGGCAGGCATAAAACGAACTCTAAATGAATGTAAGTATCTACATCACATAAATAGTTTCCTATAATTTAATTTTATTTATTTATTTTCATCTGAAATATAAGTCATTAAAACTACATATCTATTAATTTCCCTTTTTGGGTGTTGACACCATGTTGTTATGCACTGATATGCCAACACTTTGCATAACTCTGCTGTCTCCAACATGTAAATTCAAAGGTGCTATGAACTTTGGCTTAGAATAAGTTAAAGCAATGGATAGAGTTTATAAAAACAGAATTGCTATAATAAACATCTCTATATGGCAGAAAAAGTCACTAATGATAGCATGACATAAACATTTACAAAGGCTACAAGTACTAGTGTTTGTCAAGTGCATTCGGATATGGTTAGTCTGACATTTCTGACCTCGTCCCACCTAGGCAAAAGTGTAGAATATTTCTGAGGGGGGGTGGGACAATAAGGCAGTCTGTTACCCTTAACAATGGGAAGTTCACGAGAATGATCACCACCAGAGCGGATGTATACCTAAATCTGTAAGATTTCACAGCCTACAAAAAAGTAACTCAAAAATAAATATTGGATTAGTTTTATGACCCATAATATTTATGCTACAGACCACGGGAGGAGGGTGGTCTTTTAAGAAATGACACTGTGTAGTCTAGCAGACACAAATATTTCAGAGGAACCTGCTACCTCCATCTTCATGGTAGAAATTGAAAGCAGCAGGCTCCTTCAGAATGTTGGAAGCACTTACCATCCTAGAAGATTTTCCTGTTGTTACAGAACCCAAAATTCACCATAAATGTCTGTCATTGGACCCTGTCCCAAGCTACATTAATCCCAAAATTTCTAGTAAAAGTAAAGCTATTCCTGTAACAGGCCGTGAAGGCCCATAGGGTTGTGAGACATTGAGGGTCCCACATTTTCTAGACAATTGGCTAAAAGATGGTGGTAAGGTTGTCAGCCTTACGCGCCGGCCGTGCTTTACTCCCCAGGAAAATTATTTATTTAATTCCTGGTACTCATTTCTGTTAGAGGCTGAGTGAACCCCAGGGCCATAGTGTGGCTGGAAGGATTAGGTCAACTGAAAAAAAATCCAATGACCCCATCGGGACTTGAACCCGTGACTTTCCAACTTGTACCATAGTGCCAATATTTCTGGAAAAGTAAAATTTATTCCATGTTTGAATTTTTACAGGTAATTGCAGAAGTTACTACAGCAATAGGCTGGAGCACATGGAGTGTCTTGACTGCATCTCACATAAAACTACCATCAGGTAACATGGTCATCAAAGAATCTGAACAAAAATGCGATAGGATTATAAGCCAAACAGCAGGGGTGTGATGAGGTCACCTAAATCAGTTCAGCTGAATTGGCTGCACCTAAAACATTAAAACAGATTATAAAAGTGTCCTGAAAAAAGCTCAGCCTGCAAAATATTACACAGATTCCTACTACTGCAGTGATAAAAGAATGTGTTGCAATGTATGGCTTGACAAGGTATTTGTTGTCTCATGTCTGAATTATTCTATTGAATTTGATCTGATGGGGTCTATGCTATACAGCCTTCAGTGCTGACCTTGGCCTCTGAAAAACAGGATAACATAATGGCAAGTGACAATCTAACATGCAAACCAGCAGTTAAAATGATTATTAATGTCATCCAGTGTGAATAATCTTTTACACTATTACTAGTGTGACAGACCAGGATGAACCAAGTAAGTTATCAAATTTATTCTTATAATTAGAGTTTGAAATGGGGGCCATATTAGGTGCAATGCTGTCCCACTTCCTTTAAGGAGACTACAAAACCACCCCAAAAGCTGTGATACAAAGCACCAACGCAATAAATACAACAGTTACACAACTCATTTTCCATTGATGCAATTCATTAAACCATTGTCATTAAATTGATGTGCCTTTCAGACACAAAATCGTTCCAACAACCGTGTTCTCATTACTGAATTATATGTTATCCTCGAGGCCATGCTGTAGCTCAGGGAGTTAGTTACTGGCTTCTCACTGCACAGACCTGGGTTCAAATCCCAGGGTAGTCAATGGAAGCTCTGTGATAGACAAGGTAGCACTGCGGTAGGTTTCTCTGAGTACTTCAGTTCATCTTCAATTATCACACTACTAATGTTCCACATTCATACATCATTAGTGGTTGGTGCAACAGACCCATATGAGGTCGCAGCATCAAGAAATTCGATCTCACTGCACTCCAACTGCCAGATTTATGTAAAATATCATCAAACTGTGTTTCATTTAATTATATGAACAAATGAGCCCATATTTCAGCATCCTGTTGCACTGGGGCACAATTTTAATTGTATAGTATTCCATCTGTAATGCAACCAAGTCAATCCTTTCTTAAAAGACACTAAAACATATTTAATTCACTAAAAAGCACACAATTAAAATGGGGCCATTGCTGTTCAGCTCATAAATTCTCCTCTTCTGTTCTATCCCACCTCAATGAGTACAAAAAAGCCATTAGATGCCCACATGTGTGTGTATGTGTTCAGATGTGCTTATGCACAAAGTCTCATGTGATTGTACACTGCCATACAATTTTAATTTCTATATAAGCTGAATAGACTGATTTTTGCCTACATACAGAAGAAACTGCCATTAACTATAATTCTGTATGTAAAAAAATACTGTAGCCACTTATTTGCTCTCTCACATGTCATACTGCTCATACAATAAAATAATTCTTGTAATTTAATGTAACATTTATTTTATTTCAGTCACAATTTTGAAAATATGTCCAAAGTATGGGAACAATGACAGTAAACATTTACAATAATATTTTGTACATATTATTATACAGTAAAATTTAAGTGAATACAATTTATTTAGATGTTACTCCAAATGATCTAAGTGTAGGCAAGAGAAAAGTTAAATTACTTGCCTTACTTCTAGGGATATTTATGTCAAAGAATAGAAGCAATTATTTTCCAATGCTGGTATCGTGTGTAAGAAACCATTAAAAGGTATTATTAATTGAATGCTTTTCTTTTATGCAATGCACAGTGAATCCTTCTTCTTTCCTCTCCATGACTACAATTCTCAGTCCACCTTCAATTTGCTAGCAATTTCACTGATGTGCACAAAGATCTGATGTACTGCTGCTCTTGCCTGTGTCTTGGAACTGGTGCTGCCTTAAATGTTTAGATCAACAAGTAAAGTAAGTAAAGTTGTCCCTGTGCTTAACCAATTAAGCACTATGCCATGAAGGAGTATGGAGGAGTGGATGTATACATCCACATTATCGTGACCTTGGCACTAGCTGGAGGTGAGTGTTCGCTTTACACCCCGGGGAAAGAGTCCTCTGTATCCATTGGATAGGAGGTTGGGTGAACCACAGACGATGTAGAGAAGAGAAAATTCTTGCCCCCAGCAGGACTCGAATCCTAACCCCTTCGTCATCCAGCCTGTAGCCAGTCACTATACCGACTGGGCTATCCCAGCTCCCTTAGATCAATAAGTACAGAAGGAAAATCATGAGGAAAATAAAAAACAAAAAATTAGGGATAATACATAGACAAATAAATACCTTGAAAGATATATTAACAAATAAAAGAATAATATGATATAAACATATTTTGAGAATTGACATGGAATCTTTAACACTTTGCGGACTGGTGGCATATTTTTATGCCCAGCACTTTTAAACATGGCGGACCAGTGGCATATTATTATGGACTTTAGGATGGACACGTGTTGAAACACACTATACCTTGCACTGGCGCCAGGCAGACGCATGACTGATGCGTGATAGACCTCTTGAATGTTTGCTTCGTAGTCAGTAACATGACCCCGCTGTTTTCCTTTCTCACTCCAAAAGAAAATGCCTTTTATAACCGCCGTCACGTTCGCCTACACATTTGGTGTCACTTATATAACTAACTGTTTTGTCACCCACTCAGTGCTACTTCTAGCCCCACAAGTTGGTCGGCACTTATAACTCGCCATTTATACCTGTCCTCTTAGTGCCCTTATGTTGGTCTCCACTTTCATCCGCCGCTTCCTTGTTGCTGTCTGGTTCAGGGTAGGGTGTGGGATTACTCTGAATTTGAATTTGTATGGGCGCCAGTGGACTTGGGTGAAATCCACGAATTTGGAATGGGGAAAACAAAGGTGGGGATATGGATAGGCGGGCGTTTGGGGTGTCAACTGCTCAGACAGTAGGACGAGATTCTGACTCAGGGCGACTTCTGGGCCTTGCTCACACAAGGAGGGAGAGAACACTTAAAATTCACACTTCACCAACACTGTTGCTCTTTATCATAGAGGTGAACTAGAATTACACATTACAGGGCTGTAGCACTTTGAATTTGTGTACTGGACTCGGCCAACACCGATTTAACGTCTGAGAGGTTACTCCTGTTACTCACTAAGGCGATTGACTCCAGTTACTACCTTTAGATGACTCACTCCTGTTACTCCCTTTAGATGACTCACTCCTGTTATTCCCTTTTTGCAAGTGACTGCTCTGGAGAGGCAGAAGTCCCGATGGTTCCGGGAATGCCCAGTTTCCTCTCCTCTGAAATTTTTGCTGATTGGCCGAACCTAAAATTTGGGTGTTTCTCTCATTTACATTCCGCCAATCCCTAACATGATCCATGTTAATTTGGGCCTAAGTACAACATGGTCCTTCTGACAGCTCTCAAATAAATGAAGGTACGCTAACGATTGCTCGGTACGCCCCTCCGAAAATTATTGCAACTCGTATCTGTCATGTCTCAAATTTTCAAAGACTCGCACCGTCAAAGTTAGCATTGAAATTCCCAGAAAACACAGCAGGATACTTCCTGCTCCGTTCTGGGGGTTTCAAGTGACCTGCAGCTTGCTTGTCCCTCAGAAAGACCATATGTCATCCTTGGCATCTGCTGGTGCTGGGGTCAATTCTGTATCATCTTGTGTTAACAGTAATACAGTTCGTTTACCTGTAGTACATTATAATTAAGAATGTAAATCAACAACATTGCTGAGGTTCCTGCATGGTGCGGTTACACTTTGTTCATCTTCCAGCTGCATGCACCAGGCAGGAAGTTACTAGTGCAAAATGGATCAAGATCGAAGAGGTTGAGGTCCAAGCATTTTCTTGGAGAACAAGAAATACGTGTATCCGACTTGTTCTCCGATGAGCTATGTGACGTCCCTTGTGAGTCTGCTAGTGATAGTGACTCACAATCTGATAGTGAGTGTGGCAGGGGTGAACAAAAAATTGTGGCAACAGACAGTGAAAGTGACAGTAGCTCTGACGAAAGTGCGGGTAGCAACATTGCGGGGAGAGCCACATGGGGAAAAGTAGACAAAACGCCTGCTTTGGGACAGTTTACTGGAAATCCAGGGGTGAAGCAAATTCCATCGGACCCAACACAAGTGTCTGAAGTAGCGGAACTGTTTTTTGGAGATAGTTTCTTTGACACGCTATGTCAGGAAACTAACAGATACTATCTCCAACACCGTGAACATTATGACAGAAGTTATATGTTCATGGAGGGGGTTGATAGAGCTGATCAGTACTTGGCCTATTATTCTCTTCCTCAGAAAACAGTAAAGTGGACAAAGAAAGTTGCCTTGTGACTTATAAATTGTGCCATTTTCAATTCATGTTTGTTTTCAAAAATCTAAACACTCATTCAAAATTGAAATACAAGGCATTTCTGCTGAATGTGGCAAAAGCCTGGGCTACAGACCACATGGTGGCGGCAGACACACACTTAGTACGACCGGGGCCATCTACTCCCACCCCACGCAGTCCTCATTTTGACCCCCTGGGCGACTCTCGGGTGATATGCGGAAACATACCCTCGTGAAAATTGTGAAGAGTGAACATGCCAAGTGGAAGCAGCCTTCTAGGCAATGACGTGTTTGCACAGTACACAACAAAAGGAGTATGACTGTCTACATGTGCAAGTTCTGTGTAATGCCACTTCACAAAGGGGAATGTTTCCAGAAATATCACACTCTCGAGCACTTCTAGGAGCATCGGTAAGTGTTCTCCAAAAATTTTAGTTCATAAAATTCATTAGGAGATTTTATATTAATTTTTGAAGTGAACAGTGCACAAGTTAGGGTAGTACGTTTAAAAATGCTGGTCCCCAGGGTGATTTAAATATTTAAATTGCCAGTCCGCAAAGTGTTAAGGGAAATGTCCAAGAGTAAGTCAGAGATAAAGATGAGAAAATCAGGTTAGGAGAGCTGTCACATAAAGGAAAAGAATGGGGAAAGAGATGGGAGGAAAGGCTCGTTTGCAAAACCCACACAAAGTAGAAATGTCCGAGAAGGAGCAACAATGTGGGGATATCAGCTATTACTTCAACAGCTGGGTCATTACAAGAACGGGGGAAACACCGTGCAAACATACATCTGGGACGAAACTCCATCTAATTTTTCTTCCTCTTTTGTTTGTCTTGTATTCTCTTCCTCTTAACCTTCTGTTTCCTTTTCCTGTTTCCTATGGATCTCTTCTTCACTTCCCTTTTGCTCATCCATACTGGATAGTTACCATGCTCGTTCCTCAGTGTCCTCTTGCTGTAACTCTGTTTAACCTCATCAATTTCCATCACTTCTTTCTCTGCTTCATTTTCTTCTTCTTCTTCTTCTTCTTCTTCTTCAATTCCTTTTTCTTCAGGAATATCTTCAGTGTTTGCCTGAATGGATTTTGCATCAACAACTGAAAACAATTCAAAGTTAATATAAAACAAACTCCCATGAATACAGGGATCTAAAGAGAAGAGTCACAACTTTCAGTATGAGAACATTCAGGAGGCTGTAAACTTTCTGGGTTTCTTGTTCATGCTCAGTGACTGTGCTTGTAATTTAGATAAGATTAGATGGCCAAGTCATGTTCAATAAAATAACTGTAAGAGATTACACAGGTTTTCACAGCTGTAAGTATTAAGGTTATGTCTTCTGTGATGTGACACCATATAGTTTTGTATATCGATACTGTTTCAAAAGAACCTTCTGCCTCTGTCTTCTGAGTAGATTCCTCCAAAACACTAGTACTCATGATATAAAACTAAGCGCTTCACATCTCAGCAGACTGTAACCTTAAATATAACTGATGACTTATGATAATGACATCACCTCTAGAATGTGCTGACAAGAGGCCCCAGACTACAATCTGCCAAGTTTGCAAGCCATGAAAGCTGTGTCCATCAGGAATCCTAGGCATGGGTTGCCAACTCTAATACTCAAGGTTAGGAACAGGACAGTAGAGGATGCGAATCAGGTGGTTACATATGTGTGAAATAATTACAGTTGAGATATTAGCAATTTTCAAAATTTGGTGTCTGTTCAAATCAGTGTGCTTATGAACATATACAAAGACAACTAATCACAGAACAATTCAATAAAATTAAATATATCTGATGCCTGATAACAGTATCAACTCTTAATTCCATCGAAGGGGGTTCAACGTATTCTGTAGCCTAGCACTCACGGATGCTGTGATTAACATGAATCATCTGTCCTCTTGGTTGAAAACAGCTCATTGGATGATGGGAATTAATCATTTAAAAACATTAAATAATTTAGGATTGTCACCAGATAAACAAAGACCATAAATTATTTTTCAGTTTTAACATCCAGTTTACTTAACACTGACATAGAATTCAGAACACACAATGAGAGCGCATCTTGATGCAAGTTCACCTGAAAGAAGTGCAAATAACACCAAGAAACAGTGTAGTTGAATCAAGATTGAAGGATCAGGACACATTTATGGTTCGATCAGATTCATAAATCTTTTACACCATCAATACTCCAGTGGAGTTTTTAAGTCCAAATTTCACACAGAACGTCGGAAGTTCGATAAGCACACTTCATGGAGTAGCTCATGTCACTCATGATACTGACATCACACTTGTATCTTCTGTTCCACCTGGAATCTTAGCCTCATCAAAAATGTGAGTCATCTTAAGCCTCCCTGGAACACTGAACCGCTTTACTTTTGGAACTAGATTAAGTATTATCTACAGACTCTTTGAATAGTTACCTGTTGCTATATTTTCAATATTTTTCATTTCAATGTCTTCTCCATCTTCAATTCCCAAGACCTTCTTCAATCGGGCTAATTCCTTCTCTCCGTATCGTTCTCTCTTTATAGCCCTCATTTTCCGTTTCCACTTACTTCGTAAGCTTTTTGCCATACTGAACACCTGTAAGGGGCAAAACAATACATGTAGGTATACAGAATTTTCCAAGATATTTACTGAAATTTACTTGATATCAAGTTGCAATTTACTCCAAAGTCTGGGAGTATGTAACGATAGATTAAATTCTGTTACTGCTGTTTTCTGATTTAACTATGATAATGGCAGATCTTGGTGCAGACTTAGAGAATATGAGAACAAATTGATCTTCCCACAACATTTTGAATAGGTGGAGGAACTACTACTCTCTGTTATTGAATGTATATAGGATCAGTGATGTTAGGCAGACAGAAATCCATACAGCTGAGCCGTTACTACCTGATCCTGACCCTTTTGTGGTTGAAAGTGCTATTGCAAAATTGAAACAGTACAAATGGCCAGGTAGTGATCAAATTCCAGCAGAACTTACTCAAGCAGGAGGTGAAATATTACATTCTAAGATCCACAATCTAATTACTTCTATTTGGCATAACGAAAAATTGCCTGATCAGTGGCAGGAGTCTATTATTGTACCAGTTCACAAGAAGGGTGATAAAACTGACTGTAGTAATTATCGGGGGATATCACTGCTATCAACTTCATACAAAATTTTATCCAATATTCTTCTTTCAAGGTTAAGTCCATATATAGATGAAATTATTGGGGATCATCAGTGCGGGTTTCAACGTAACAGATCAACTACAGATAAAATCTTTTGCATTTGACAGATATTGAAGAAAAAATGGGAGTACAATGACACAGTACATCAGCTATTCATAGACTTCAAGAAAGCCTATGATTCAGTCAGGAGGGAAGTATTGTACAATATTCTAATAGAGTTTGGGATACCCATGAAACTAGTTAGGTTGATTAAAATGTGTTTAAACGAAACGTGTAGTAAAGTCTGTGTAGGTAAACATTTGTCTGATAAATTTCCTGTCCAGAATGGTCTAAAACAAGGAGATGCTTTATTGCCACTCCTTTTCAACTTTGCTTTAGAATATGCCATCAGGAAGGTCCAGGGAAACCAGGTGGGAGTGAAATTATATGGGACACACCAGCTGTTGGCCTATGCCGATGATGTGAATCTACTGGGTGATAATGTAGATACCATAAAGAAAAACACACAAACTTTAATTGACGCAAGTAAAGAGGTTGGTCTAGAAGTAAACAGAGAAAACTAAGCATATGTTGCTGTCTCATCACCAAAATGCAGGGCAAAATCATTATATAAAGATAGGAAACAGATGTTTTGAAAATGTGGCACAATTCAGATATTTGGGAACAATGATAACAGATCAAAGCCCGATTCAGGAGGAAATTAAGAGCAGATTGAACTCGGGTAATGCTTGCTATCATTCAGTCCAGAACCTTTTGTCTTCTCGTCTGCTGTCCAAAAACGAAGACCAAGGTGTAGGTGGGTGGACAATATTAAAATGGATCTTAGAGAGAGTGAGAGAGAGAGAGAGGATGGGACTGATTGGATTGATCTGGCTCAGGACAGGGACCAGTGAGGGCTCATGTGAACACGGTAATGAACCTTCAGGTTCCATAAAATGCTGGGAAATTCTTAATTAGCTGCAGAATTGGCGGCTCCTCCAGAAGGGCTCAGCCCCATGAGTAAGTAATTGGTATGCTGAATATTTAGACATAACAGAATAACTGACAGGAATGCGGAGAAAATGGGCAACTTAAAAATTTGTACGCTTTACAAAATTGTAATAAAAAAATGAGTAGGGACGAAACCATTTGGAAACCTTGGTGTAGATGGGACGATAATATTAAAACTTAAACTGGATTCAACTGCCTGAGAATGGAATCAAGAGGTGGGCCCTTAAGCTGCTCAAGGCCTCTTCTCCATGGAGTTAATCTGCACTACACATTACATTATTTGCAACCATATATAGGTATAAGAATTGATTGCTGTTCCTTAAAGTTGGGCTGACCCATAACACGTTAAGTTTGTGCCATGAAACTATGACATCTAGAAAACTTACTGCAGACCTATATGGACTGAAACAGGTATCTCTTAGAAAACAGCAAAATGATTTAGAAGTGTTAAACCTCATGCCAAATATAAGTACATACATTCTAAAGCACATTACATACAGCAGATTTATCACAATTTCATACACACTGAATAAGCCCTTCATCTGCACATTCACTTACTTTATAAACACGGAAGAGAAAATTAGAAAAGTAATCTTAATGCATACTTCCAAATTTCCCGTCAGTATTACCACAGAAGTATTACATTCACACATTAACTAATAAAGACCATTCACTTCACTTCAGGATATTAAAATATGATTGTACACTTCAACAAACATTTTATTAACCACCTGAACATCCAAATTTTGTACAAAGCAAGCTAGAAAATAAAGTACTATAAAACTGTTGAGACAAATAGATGTAAATTTTGTTTTAAATGTGGTCACAATTCAATGTAGAGGTGGCTATGAACAGTTCTATTTTCTGGGATATAAAACTGTGTAATCTGATGAAAGTCAACTTAAGTTTCGGAGGAACATGTACCCTCCATTCTCTGGGTCAAAAAATATGNAAATGAGAGTGAAACAGGCAGCAAGCGGAGTGTTCCCTGCACCTGTGAAAGGTAAGGCAGGGTACAAAGGTTCCTGGTCTTCCTGATCTGCGGCTTCTCGAATGGTAAAACGCAGCGATACGTTTCACCTCCATACAGGGACGACTGGGACACACGTGGGATTTGATGTTCTTAACCTGCTTTGCGCTCTTTCTTGCTCGGCTTATTACTCGACCCTGAAAATGAAGGCGGCATGTACCTCTGTTACAACAGTTGACTTTCAATGGACTATACCCTATTAGATTCCTGAAGAGAGAACTCTCGTTAGCCAATACAAGTTGCCTTCACGAACACGCTACAAACGTACATTTCCGATTTGTTCGTCTAACATACTCAATGTAATGCCAGCTAAATGATTAGACGTTTTAACTTACTAATTATGACCGACGAACAATTTAAAAGTAAATGCTCAATTTAAATAACACAGGACCACAACACGTGCATACTTCACCATCAGATCGATCAGATCTACGCAAGAACATCACGTAACACCACTTTGTTGGCGGGAACAACAGAAAAAGAATCACCTACATTTCCAATTTGAATGCCATCTGTGTATGCTAGAATAGTCTCATGTCCAGCGTCGGTAGTCGGATCGGTACGAAGCCAAACTATTATTCCACATCCAGGTTTATCCTCATCCAACCAGCTTTGGGTACATTACATTGCCTTGCATTTCCTAGATCCAGCCAGATTTAGTCAAAATGACTGTAGGATGGGTAATAGGTCGTAAATACGAAAACATATATACAGTACAACTGAAATTTTCATCCAAGGAAAAATAGTGGTTACGGTTATTAGAAAATACTCATTCACACAACCTTTAAAAGGATGAGTCACTTCTTAGACAATAAGTATTCATCAACGGAGTAGATTGAGTGTATGTTTAAGTACCATTTTAGTGCTATTTTAAATCACGCTGTTTCATTCATATGACTTTTGGGATCAGATGGCAGAGTACTGAAAATTTTGATCCCAGCATAATACACTCTTTTCTATAGGCATGAGAAGTTAGCAGCTGGTTTTCTTGAGACAGTGTTTGTATTGTGTGTTAACACAGTGTACAACTGCATTGGTCTGAAAATGTTCTTTGCTATTGTAATGAAGTTTATTAATGAAAATATATATTCACACGTAAGAGTTAAGATCATCAGTCTCTTGTAGAAGGGCTATGGTGCAGGCCTAACTTGGAGTTATTTCGAGATATACTCGTACTAAATGAAAACATCAGGCTTGACCATCGAATGAAAGAGAACGGAGAAATTGAAGAAGTTATACAATACCTAACACAGAATATCCAAGATGCCTAGTGGAAAGCTACTCCCCCAATACATAAGATGAAGCACAGAAAAATAAAACAAACCCTCTACATCAGACAACTGATTTCAGAAAAAAGAAGAGCTAGACATATCTGGCAAAGAACCAGAAATCCGTTAGACAAGACAAACTTAAATAGATTAAACCATAACCTCACGAGAGCTCTACAAGAGGCAAAAAAATGATAACGTTTACTCGTCTATTATGCAGCTCTCCTCTGACGACTACTCTTTGTGGAAAGCAACAGAGAGATTTACACAACCAGTCACAAGCATCCCACCTATAAGGAACACTGACAGGACATGGGCATGTTCTAACACCGAAAAATTTTCAGCTTTTGCTGAACACTTAGTAAATGTTTTTGGCCACGCCGTAGGTCAAGCGGTTAGTTGCTGGCTTCCCACCGCAGTGGCCCAGGTTTGATTCCGTGTCTGGTCAAGTGGGGTTTGTGGTGGACAAAGTGGCGCTGGGGCAGGTTTTCTCAGAGTACTTCAGTTTCCCCTGCCAATCTTCATTCCACAAATTACTCCACAATCACCCTCTCCTATCATTGGGGGCTTGTACAATAGGTCAGAAGTGGCCGCAGTACAAGGGACTTAGTCCCACCCCAGCGGCCTCCGTAGTCTAGGGGTAACGTTCCCACCTCATGACTCAAGGTATGCGGGTTCAAACCCGGCGGAGGTCATCGAATTTTTAAGGGCGGAAAAATTCAGGGAAGAATTCCTCCGGGAGGGACTTTAAGCCGTGGGTCCCGTGTCGTAGCTTTACGGCACGTAAAAGAACCTCATGCCTCAAGGAGGTCTCTGAGCCAAATTACCAGGACATTTCCCACCCAACAATAGTCTCTAACGCCTCTGGTAGATGGGGGAAGCATCTAGATACTGCTCAGCCAGTAGAGGCCGAACTTGCTGGCTGAGTCGGGACTGATGGCACGCACCAGTATCGGTAGGGTATAGAGACTGGTAGAATATCACAGGGGGACATACAATAGACCACTGGTTGCGGTGCATGGGGAAACCCACCCCCTCGAATAATAATAAAATAATAGTCCCACACCACTAGCGTATTCAGTCCTCCTCAAAAGCAAAGTATCAATGATGCTGACATTGAAGACTTCCTACATGCTCCCCACCAGTTATCACTTCCAATAAAAACCTTCTCACCGACAGAAGTACTTCAGGAGATAAAACTATTAAATCCTCTGTTGTGCCCCAAGGGGTTGGGGTAGCGCCGACCCCTAATGGGCTCGTGGATAGCTCTTACCGGGCTCGGGAGATACCAGGTAAAATAAACACACAGGTACAAAACACATAGAGGATACCTAACTTATAACATGAAAATAAATCTAACTAAAACTTAGAAGTACAGGATATTCATTCTTTGGACTATCGCCTCCTCATCATGGAGTCCTACTCAAATCAGTCCTTCATATTCACAGTTCTGAGTGTTTTAGTTTACCACTGACAGTGACCCGAAAGGAGGCAAGTACTCACTCGAACAGCATAGTAGACACAGAATGGCGACTCTTGCTGGTCCCTTCATTGTTGGCACTGTCACAGAGTTCGGTAGCCACAACTATGCCCAACAGCCCTCTCCAGCACTCACATCTGGGGCTTTTATAAGTCTCTATGCGACGCGCGAGTACTACCCACGCGTGGAACCGCCCTAGAATAGTCTTTTCCCATTGGCATTCGTCTCTTGCCGTTTCAAAACTTGCCCATATATGGTCACTGGTGTGCGTGCGTAGTTCTCTAACCGATGCATCATAAAATGGCTGCCTACCAGATACCACACACTCATTAGTCTGATCTCATTCCACTTCCGGTTCATCATCCTGTGACTGTTCTTTCCATTTTATTACAAATGAACTAAAATTAATGATAACACAAAATATATCTGGCATCTAGTGCCGGGGCACAACACCTCGCAAGGCACCTGGACATGATTTGATAGTCTGAGACATGCTGAAGGATCTACCATGAAAAACAGTAGTCTTATTGACCACTATATGCAATAGTATTTTAAGACTTGGATATTATCCTATTCAGTGGAAACTAGCACAAGTCATAATGGTGGCCAAACCTGGAAAGTCCCCAACTGAAGCTGATCGATAAGTCTACTATCAATAATGTCCAAAATCTTCGAGAGGCTTCTTAAGAGAACTGAGGAAGCAGTGCCACTAAATGAATCAATACCTGACCATCAATTTGGATTCTGAAGAAAACAGTCAACAATCCAGCAATGCCATTGAATTATCAATAAAATTAAAACCAGTCTTGAAGCCAGAGAGTATTGTGCTTCAGTGTTTCTAGGCGTACAACAAGCCTTTGACAAGGTCTGCATGCGGGACTCCTATACAAATTAAAAACATACTTACCTGAATGATTCTACATTAGTTTGAAATCTTATTTACATGATCGATACCTTCAAGTGAAATTAGACGATGACCTTTCCGAATATAAACCTATAAAATCAGGAGTTCCCCAAGGTAGCATGCTTGGACCATTCCTCTATTTAATTTTCACTACTGACCTCCCACAAACTAACAATACCTTAATTGCCACATTTGCAGATGTTACTGCTATACTAACATCAGATCTAGATCCTAGAAGAGCATCTGAAAAGCTGCAGTAGCATCTCGATACTCTTTATACACGTATGTGGTTACAACAGTGAAAGATACGCGTTAATACCACCATCATCATCATCATCATCATCATCATCATCATCAGTAATCTGTCAAGACGACAGGTCCACAGTCTCTTTCAAAACAATTCCTCCACTTAATGCGATCTAGAGCTTTCTCCTTCAAATGACAGTATCCTCTTCTGTCCCCAAGGTCATCCAGCATCTTCTTACGTCTTCTTCCTCGTCTTCTTGTCACTTCTATCCGCCCATCTATCTTTCCTTCGATAGCTTCTTTTAGAAGGCAGTTTCTGCGTAAAACATGACCAATCCAATTAGCCTTCCGTTTTCTTATTTCATGTAGGATATTCCTCTGCTCACTGACTCTAATTAACACTTCTTCATTTCTCACATAATCGGTCCAACTGATCTTCTCCATTCTTCTCCAACACCACATTTCGAAACTTTCCAGATGTTTCTGATCTACTGCCCTAAGTGTCCATGTTTCAGCCCCATACAGAGCTATGCTCCAAATGTAGCATTTCACTAGTTTCTTCCTCAAATTTAAGTCCAATTTGCTGGTAAAAAGATTCTTCTTCTTGCTAAATGCAGCTTTTGCCATGGCAATCCTGGATTTAATTTCACAAGTACACCTTCCATCATCTGTTAACAAGCTACCCAAATATTTAAAACATTTCACATTCTCCAGTTGTTTTTGGTCTATCTTTATTGTGACTGGGGTTGGTTGTCTCGAAATTTTCATTACTTTTGTTTTCTCCACATTCATTTCCATGCCATAGCACCTTCCAATTTCAATTAGTCTATCAAAATACCACCATATCAGTCCAAATAACATTTACTACAAAAAGAAGCAGATGTCCTCAGTTTAACATAAACAACAACCCTATACCAGTGAAAACAGAGGCCAAATACCTCGGACTCTACATAGATGAGAAGCTGACCTGGAAAACGCACATAAAAGCGAAGAGACGCTAACT